CCCCAGCGCCGCCGCCTCCGCCTCCGCCGCCGCCGCCGCCTCTCGCTTCCCAGCCGCCTCCGCCTCCTACCGCGCCGCGCCCACTGCGCAAGCGTCGCCCGCCTAGGGCCCGCCCCTTCCTCTCCTGAAGGCCCACCCTCAGTGACGTCACAAACCCGTGACGTCTCCCGCGTGACCTCACCGCGGTGGAGCGAGGGGGCGGGAAGTGGAAAGAAAGAAGGGGACGGCCCGGTGGCGGCGGGTGATTCCTAACCTGACCGCATTTTCGCCCTGCCTTCACTCCAAAGGGAGGCGATAAAGACCAGGGTTAAAGAATCCTCCTGAACTGTCCCTCTCAAACACACACACACTCATGAGGAATGAGAGTGCATGGAGGGACAGAGATAAAGCAAGGTCAAGTAGTAAAGTGCTCTCCCAGCTAGAAGTCCGCCTCTGACGTTGGAAGGATTTCCTTGTGTAAACTTTCAGAGCTGGTTTCTCAGAGAGATGCTGCTGTAAGTAGTCTTCCCACTACCCCAGATGATGGTTACTACACTTTCAGTTTCTGTTATGCAACAATGCCTCGTGTCTCCAATCAGTAAAGGAGACCTCACTACAAGACATCAATCACAAATGCCGCCAAATACCACACATAATCTTCCACCAACACCATTAGGACCAACACTCTCAAAATAAAGGTTAAGTCACAGGAATTTGGCTTGCCTTGTTCTGTTTTTTAAATAGAAGGCAAACAATTGTACATATGTTACACCTACCTGATCAAGGAGCTATTTCAAGATCAAAAAATGAAAAAAGACTATCTTGCTTTTCTTTCACCAAAATATCTTTTAAATACCACAGAGTCCTGGTGTAGCGCTGTAGGGCAAAGCACTGGGCCTCAATGTCAGTTTGGCAGTTCAAACTCGTCAGCCGTTCCTTGGAAATCCTATGCAGGGTTGCTAAGGGTCAGAGCCGACTTGAAGACATTTAACAACAACTGTATTTGTTATGGACCCCTGGTAGCGCAGTGGGTTGCACATTGAACTGCTAACTGCAAGGTCAGCAGTTCAAATCCACAGCTTCATGGGAGAAAGATAAGGCTTTCTGCTCCCATAATTTCAGAAACATTATATAAGGTCGCTATGAGTCAGAACCGCCTATGAGGCAAACAAGAGCAACCGTGCTGTATTTGTTGGGGAGCACAGTGACTCTGTGCAGTAAGTTCTAGACTATAAACCTCAAAGTCAGCGATTGCAGCCTATCAATCATTCAATCATTGAAAGGGAGAAAGATGAGGCTTTCTGCTCCAGCTAAGACTGACAGCTTTGGAAACCCTATATAGGGTCACTATCAATGGCACTTGTAGTCCTGGTGTGGCACTGCGGGCTAATGCGCTGGACAGCAAAGTCGGTTTGAACCGCAAGGTGGGCAGTTCTAGCTCACCAGTCGCTCCTTGGAAACCCTATGCAGGGTCGCTATGGGTCAGAACCGACTCAACAGCACTAAACAACAATGACGACAATCAATGGCACTTAACAACTGAATTTGTCTTGCACTCTGCTAAGTCTATAAGATAAACACTGTACTGCTAACCACAAGGTCGGCAATTCAAATCCACCAACCACTCCTTGGAAACCATATACTGGATCGCTATGTGAGTTGAACAGACTCTAGGGCACTTAGCAACAACAATAGAACTTACATGCCTTGTCCAAAAATGTAACAACTTCCTATGTAATCAACTTCAACTCATGGCATGTCAGAGTAGAACTGTGGGTTTCAGTGACTAATTTTTCAGAAGCAGACCACCAACCTTTCTTTTCAGGTGTCACTGGTGGACTTTGAGTTAGCAGTTGAGCACTTTAAGCATTTGCACCACACAGGAAACTGTCTAAAAAATCATACTAATAAAGTTAGACGTAATTTTCTGATTCCTAATATATAGGAGCTCTGGTAGCATAGTGGTTATGAATTGGTCTTCAAACCTCAGAGTCAGCAGTTCGAAACTACCAGCTGTTCCGTGGGAGAAAGATGAGGTTTTTCTGCTCCCGTAAAGATTTACAGCCTTGGAAACCCTGTACAGGGTCACTATGAGTCAGAACCTACTACACGGCACATAACAACAACAACAATATATTTTTTACATAGCAATTTCAACAGCAAACAGGACTGAAATACATGATGGGTAGTATTGTGGATAGTGATAATCAGGGGTAGAATTCTCACTCCCATGCAGAAGACCCCAGTTCAATTTCTGGCTGAAGTCCCTGAAATGCCTATCTGTGGTGGTAATCATATTGCTATGGTGTTGAACAAGTTTCAATGAAGCTTCCAGGTTAACACAGACTAAGAAGAAAGGCCCAGTGATCTACTTCTAAAATATCAACCATTGACAAAAGTTCTATTCTGACAACATGAATTTGCCATGAGTCATTGGGAGCAATGAGTTAGTTTTGGGGGTGCCAGGAAGCTTCAAAGAGATAAAGCACTCTACCTCCTTCTGTCCCACTACCAAATAAGAGTTAGTAAAATTTTGGGGTTTGGGGTTACACATATTTGGGATACAAATTCTCATTCTGCCACTTATTGGTAATAATTGTATCTGCTCTGACAGAGTTGTTGTCTAATAGGATTAAATGAGATAACAATATATTAGACACTCAGTACAGTTTCTACTCCAAAGATGTACTCAATAAATGGTTGAACTAGTACTGAGGCCATAGACATGAGAAAAAGGCTACAGGGTTGGGCAGTGTACAAGTAGACTGAGATTCCTTCTTCACCTGCCCCTCTTCTACTTTATTTCCCCTGTTGTTGACTGCAGCTGAGTCAGTTCCAACTCATAGCAACTCTGTATGGTTTTTCTGAGGAGCAGCTGGTGGGCTTGAACTGCCAACCTTGAACTCCTTTTACAGCATAAAATAATAAATAATACAAACATTTTATAAGAATTTGTTCTTGGCATTCTAAGATCTAAGAAGTCTGGATCTTTGCCAGAGCCTAATTTTGGGGGTGGCCACAATGTTGGACTATTTCATTAATATTAAGGCCAATTCACAGCCTTCATCACAGATGAACTCATGTTGTACCCATCATATGAATGATGAGATGGATATACAGATAGATTATAAAATGTTAATATTAGAACTTAAAGGGAACCTCCCCATATTATAGATGAAGAAATTGAAGTCAAGGGAGAGGAACTGATATTCCCAAGATCCCATATTTAATAAGGGATCTCCCAACTCCCAGCCCAGTACCCTATCTATATTCCCTTTATACTCTTAGTACAATTTGGACATTACATACAGAGTAACCGGAAATTTTAACCCATGAGCTGATTTGATGTTAGACTACAGACTTGCTAGGAAGTGTTTTAATTTACAATGTCTATGGATTACAGTCTCATCAAGGATCCCAAAGAAGATGTTTTTGGATCCAAAGGAAATTAAAAACCCATGGCCAGTCCCATACAGTACCAGGCTCTTAGCTGACACTAAAATAGGAGATCCAGATAGCTCAGAACTTTAGTCCATGGTAGGATTTCTCTCAAAGTAATGTAACTACTCAAGGGAATTCTGAAACCTTGAGACATTTTTAGTGGTGATGAAACATGGAGTGCTATGCTGGCTGTGAATTTCCTGAAGACTAGGATGCTAAACATCTGCAATACTCGAGACAATTGTGCACAGTGATGAAGTGTTCCACCCCTAGCCCCTGCACAGAAACACTGAGCAGATATGAGGGAATACCACCACCACCCCGCACACATGTGCACACACACACACACATACATGCACACAAAGGAATAGTTTCTGTATGAGAATGAAATGTGAAATGGAGACATGAGGTATTCCAATCAGGTAATCCAAAGAAATTAATTTCCACTTGAGTCTGTGGGTTTATTAACACCTGTGAATTTGTTCTGATGGCTCACAGAGGGATTTGTTTATTCACTGGCAAAAGGGCCTGAACAAGGACTACTTAGTTGAGAAGACAAGAGTCAAATTGCTGAGTCCTAGTGTGGCACTGTAGGATAAGCACTGAATTGCTAACCATAACGTCAGCGGCTCAAATCCACCAGCTGTTCCTCAGAAACCCTATACAGAATCGTTATGAGTCAGAACTGACTTGACAGCACTTAACAACAAAAAAAAAAACCTCAAGGTTGTTCAAAGTGTTTCTAGATTCCGTCTCAGAACTATGTCAAGAGCTATACCTGGTGTTGCCATTTCCTGGACTATGCCCCAAACTAGCCAGTTTCTATCTGAATTTCTTGGGCTTATATAAGAAATTGAAACTAACACCAGGTCTTTCTCAGGGAATTAGGCATTTTTCACTCAGAAATGAAACTCTAGGTGAAAAGTGATTCATCTGGCCAGAACATCCTAGATTGCTCCCAGATCACCAAGTCTTAAAATTCAGAATTGTCAAGGCTTGCACAGACTATCTAAAGTTATGCTACAGCACAGCTGATCAGATAATAGAGAATCCAAATAGACTTTGTTGTTGTTGTTGTTAAGTACCAGGGAGTCGGTTCCAACTCATAGTGACCCTACACAGGGTTTCCGAGGCTGTAAATCTTTACGGGAGCAGAACGCCTCATCTTTCTCCCGCGAAACTGCTGGTAGTTTCGAACTGCTGACCTTGAGGTTAGCAGCCCGATTCGTAAGGCTCTAGGGTATATTATTTACCAACTTGTAGTAGGAACTTTTTGAGTGTGTACACAAACCATGATAGGATATTTAAGGTTTTGTGTCAACTTGGCTGGGCCAGATTTCTCAGTGGTTTCCTGTAATCCCTATTATGAGAGCTGCTATTAGCAGCCAATCAATTGAAAGGAAATTTCCATGTATGTCGGATGGAGAGGTGACCTGCTTCCAATATA